TTAGTTCCATTTTACAGATAGGAAACCTGAGGCTCATGCAGCAACCCTGCTAAGGTCTCTCAACTAGTCATCAGTAGAGCTGGGATTCCAACCTAGCTTGGCCAGTTTTCACTAAGTTGGGCCACCAAGATGGGGTGAACACTTGGTTACGGGAGGAGGACAGCTAAGCGACCTGCTTCTCTGCCTTCTACTGAGAGTCTGAGAAAGGCACAGTTCTCATGCCCTACCCCTGGGGAATAAAACCCTATAACTTCCTCTTCTGCATTTCCCAGGATAAAGGTTACCTACCAGTTGCCCTCGAGACCCTCCTCTCTGCTATCACACAGTCTCTGGGTCTGTCTTGGATCTCTACTGTTACACTTGGTTTGCCTCTGCTTGTGGAAGGGTCAAGGTTCTGAGAGTGTATCTGACACGTTGTCTCACACTTCTTCATTTTCCTCTTCTAGCTCCACCAGGCACTCGGAGCTTCAAGGGTTAACTGGATGCAGGGGTGTTTTCTCCAGCTCAGGGCATTCCCTCTGCAAGGTGATCTGGCTCAGATCTTAAGTTACCTCCTGTCTCAGGCAGCACATCTGCTGTTGGCTCTGTGGGCTTGTTCTCTATGGAGTGGGGTCGACAGCCCAGGGGAATACTTGTGTGCTAGGCTCGGGTGAGGAGGCTAAGCCCCCAAGACCGCTGTGTCCTACTCCTTGTTCCTTCCTGCCACCTCCTTTTCTAACAAATGGGCTCTCTCCTTCTATTGCCCAAGCCTAGGATTCTCTCAGGTACATTCATGTTGCTGACCTGGCCACCCACCTGGCTCTGCAGACTTCTTACAGGAACCAAAGGACTTGCTATCTTTGAAAAAGGACAGTGTGGTACCTAACTCCCCCAAATTCCTTTCCCTAAGTGCCCATGCAGGAAGCAAAGATCCATAAGGAGGAACTGAAAACCTATGTCCCCTGGCCCCTTCCAGACATTTCAGGATCTTGAGAGCCTATGGAGTAGGCCAGGCCCATTATGGCTCCAGCATTGCTCTGATGGCTGAGGAGACAACAGAAGGTTCATAAGAAGAGAGAAGACTTTCCAGGTGTCCTCAAGGTCTTGTGCTCCTCCCTGTAAGGATTTAGGGGAAAGCCAAGGACAGAGAAGCAAGAAAGCAGCACCAAGGCTTCCTGGGACCCAGCAGTTTTTCCTGGAGTAAGCCAGCTAAGAGTAAATTCTGGGTCTCTTCCCAAAGTCACCCTCAAGTCACTGAGGTAGACACAGGCATTGTCAAGGCTCAAAGCTACCTATGTGACCCATCCAGATGCCATAAAAAGTCAGTTATGTGTGAACATGCATTTGGTACTTACAGCCCCAGTCCCATGGTGATCGCAAATATGAATACAGATACTAACTAATTCTAGTCCTTGTAGATCTGTGCTTGTAACAGTGAATTGGAGGTGACCAACATCATCACACAGAGCCCCATGTACATGTGTATACACACCCACTCTGGAGCAAAGGCGAGCCTGTCAGAGTGTTAGAGGCCAAGTCCCACAACTGGCTACAGGACATTCTTACCTGGAGTGCTGGCTACTGTTCAAAGTTAAAGGTGAGAGAAAAAAAAAAGGCCCAACAGGTGATGTAGACACCTCTCTGCCCTTTCCTCAGTAGAGAGGTTTTCAATTTGCCAAGCTAACCAGGAAAGATACCATCAGAAGAGCAGAAGCTACAGTCACACCTCCCTTGGGTGTTTTCGATTTGTGCTGAACAATGAACATTAGTCAGCTGCTAAACAATGGGAGCATCATAGATGCAGCAATGGGAGCCGACCCTCTGGCCCTCCAACCCAGCCCGCTGGCTCAGCTGTGGGCACAGCCACGCTGGCAGCCTACAACTGGGCCCACAGGCCAGGCAGCCCAGGCGATCGCCCAGGTGGACTCATTGTGCAGAGCCAAGTGGCCAAGGAAGGAACTGGCAGCCTACAACTGGTCCCAGCTTGCTTGAGGAAGCCACTGGCTACGTGGACTAGTCCGGGTTCAGAAAGCTTCTAGACCACTCGGCCAGGACTGCTGGGCTCACGCTCTGCAGTGTCCAGCCTTCCCTCCAGCCTTGAGGGTTAGGCCTTGAATCTGACTCAGATGCTCTCCGCAAGGCTACCTGACTAATAGGCCTGGAAACGGCTGTGTTTGACACTGCAAACCCCAGGCCAGGAGAATGGATGCTGCTATGGTGCCTGGCCCAGTAAATCCAAGCCCACCATGGTCTTTGAGAAACAGGCAAAAGGAAAAGAACCCAACAGCTTAGCTCAGGGGGCTTCAAAGGAAAGCACCAGGAATGGGTGCTGTGCACAGGTAGCCTAAAGGGAACGAATGCTGTGGCCTGACAGGTCTTTGCATGGTGAGCTTGACACCTAGGGTGTGGGTTTCTTTCTAGACCAAATGTGTAGGGAAGCCAATTAGAGAGGGTGTGGTATAGGTGGGACACCTACTTCCCAGGCAGCTTCTCCATCCCATCCTCTTCTGGAACACTGTGGGTAACACTGACCCTCTCCTCTAAGTGAGCATCCTGGAAGGAACCTATCATCTCCGGAAACAAAGTCCTGGGCCCGTTCTACCCTACCTGTACTGTCTATCATACAGAAACATAAAACATACTTCTCTTTGTACACTTCAAGAGCCAGATCAGCTGTGTTACGAAGTCGGGAATCATCACATACACTGGGGGCTCCTTCCTCTCCACTTCCACAGTGTTCCCTGTCGCAGCCCAGGAGAACCCAGTAAAGAGCAGCAGACTGGCAAATCCCCAGAGAAAGACCAGAGTAGGAAGAAGCGGAGGAAGGGAGAGGAAGGTGCACAGTGGGGATGGGGTGCCAGCTGGGCCTCCCTGCCTTCTCAGTCGGAGGACCAGACTGAGTGTAGCCATACCTGCCGCTTTCTGTCACAGCGGACTCAGAAAGCAAGCAGAGCAGCAGACAGGCTCCATCTAGGAGCTGGGTGAGCCCAGGAACTTCGGTTGCCTCCACAGCACCCATTCACCAGTCACAATCATTAGCAGAGCACCTACTAAAATACCTCTGGGCTGTGATTCCTTTCTGGGCATCCTAGCTTCTTGCTAGATTTTTGGTGGGGGAGCAACTGCTTTGAGCCAGGTGAGTGTCACCTCCCTGTCTTGTAGGCGGAGCACATCGGGCCATTAACCCCCAAGGACGGAATTAAACATGCTTCAACCCATGCTTCAACCCAAAACGGAGAAATAGAGTAACAAATAGAGAGGGGTGAGCTTCCTTCCTCAAATCCTCTGGCCCTTTGTCCATCCCAGGATTAGGTTAACCCCTAGCGTGCTAGGAATCCTTAGGGCTCTTGGCGAGTTCTCCTTGCCCTGGGTTCTGGGAAGGGTTAGGGATTTAAAAGGTTCTCTCAAGCCTGTGCTGACCGGGTACATTCTAGAGGCTGAGTTTCTGTCTGTACTGCACTTGACGTCAGCAGCAAGAAAAGGGATGAAAACATCTCATTACCCCCAGACCATACTGGCAGAGGGTTCAGCACGCTCCTGTGAACAGTGTGGGATGCCCCCTCTTGGGACACTCAAGGGGCGAGTACTCCACACTGCCCATGCCCCTGCTTCCCCAAATCGCTTTCCTGGCACCCACCACTGATGAAGAGGTGCAGTGCCCTAGCAGTGAGCTGGCTGGCAGAAGGAGGCAGGAAAGGAAGTAAATGAGGCCAGGCTCTTGTCTTCCAGGAGTGCATCCAAGCCACACCTGGACAGTCAGGCCAGTCTCTTCCTAACAAACTGCCTGGCAAGCTTGAAGAATCACACTGGCTGGGAAGCCAATATTCTTAATCCAACACCTTATTCTACCACCCCAGGCTGGCGACCACCAGTTACAGTCAAGCTTCCCCTAGCCCCCCAAAGCCCCATCTTGCTAAGGCCAGAGCTCATCTCAGGTTTGTTTTTGAGGGGGGGGGAGGGGTGGCTAGAGAGATGCTTCCCCCACCTTGACCCAAATTAGTGTCCTGTTGGCAGCTCAGTTGCTTCCCCAGGGACACAAGGGGTTAAATCCAGGCGATGGGACTCGGTAGGATTTGCCTCCTAAACGCATTTTCCAGTTCATTCCCCAGCACAATATGCCTGGGCCGGTCCCAGCCTCCGCCCCCCACCCCATCCGTCAGAACTGGCCACTACGGGCCACCGCAGGGTCGGGCGCGGAGTTAACCCCTCTTCTGCCAGCAGCTCACACCTCGAGGAAAGACTCGCGGGACACCTTTGGGGCCTCTCGGGAAAGTGGGTCATGCGGCCACCTGGCTGGCATGAAGCCCACGGAGCTTCCTCCTGGGAGAGCCCTCTGCTTTAGAAGTGGAGTTCCAAGGCGGAGCCCAGTCCCGCGCAAGGCCGGGAGTTTGCGATCCCAAGACGGCCCGGCCTTACCCTCCAGAAAAGGAACCGCAGGTGAGCAAGAAGCTGCTTGTGCCGCAGGAGCCGGCTCCAAGCGCCCGCTGTGGGGCGATGTGGGACAAGAGGGGGCCCCCCGCGAGCCCGAAACCGTCTGACAAGAGGCCGCCAAAAGAAACGAAGCCCCCTGCAACCCTCCAAGCCCACAGCCCACCAGCTCCGAGACTGACGCCCTCCCCCTGGGGCTGTTGTCTCATACCCCAAGCCCGTGATTACCGTGATTATTTTGCATTTATGTAACACTCAGTGTTTCCAAACTGCTTCTCGAGCTGAGAACTGGTTATTAAATAAATAGAACCCTATTACATATTATTATTTTTGTGAAGAACTAAGCGGAGAAAGTGCTTTCTTGCTACATAGAGACGTGCATCCGATTGCTTCCCTGCAGGGCAGGCTGTTCGGCTTCTCAATCCCTTTCTCCACGGTGCCACCTCCTGCCCCCCCATCCAAGCGTGACCCAACTTTTCTGGCTCCGTTCGCTCCCTACAACCCAGTCGTGCCCGTCATCCAGCTCCCAGTCCCGAGGAGGCTCTGGTTAGGTGGAGGATATGGGGGGTGGGAAGCAGAGGCGATCGCCTTACCTGGGAAGAAGGTGGCCAAACCGAGAGCGAGTCCCCACCAGCGTCCAACGGCGCCCGCAAGCCCCATCCGAGCCATCGGAGGGCGGGGGTTCGGCGAAAGGGGCGGCCAGGAGGGCGCTCCTCGCGCTCCAGAAACCAGCCTGGAAGACGAGGGCGGATCGCTGGCGGCCGGCTGGCGCTCGGTGGATCCAGGTCAGCCGCAGCCGTCGGCCGGGGCGGGATGGGCTGGGTGGGATCCGCGCGGCCGCAATCCGGGCCCGGGCTGCCGCCGGCTCAGAGCCTCAGCAGATGCCCGCCGCAAGTTGCACGAGTCATGCCCCCTTCGCCTCCTCCGCTCTCCTCCTCTTCGACCCGGTCCCCGCCCTCTTCTTCCACGCAGAACCGGGCTGGGGAGAGGGACCCACCCCCGGCGCGCCCGGCTGCCCGACTAGCGCGGCGCAGGCTCCCGGCCCTGGGCGCACTCACACCCTCCCGCTCGGTTCCAACTTGCAGGCGTCCATGGCCGGCCGTTCTCCGAGGGTGGCCGGGCGGTGCGGAGGGCTCGGGGCCCAGGCGGTGGTGTGCGGCTACGGCGGCCAGCTGCCCTCGAGGCTCCGGGCTGCGCGGTCTTGGAGGTGCGAGGGGAGCGAGCCGGGTGCGCCACGGGTCCCCACCGCTGCCGCTGCGCCCGGTGCGGGCGATCCGCAACAATGTGGAGCTGCCTGGGAGCCGAGGCGAGCCGCGCTTGCTGCTCTCCCTCTCTTTCTCTCACTCGCCGATCCAGCCTCTCACCCGCTCTCCCGTGATGTCAGCCCGGGGGGAGGGGTTAGCGTTAACCCCCTCCTGGCTCCCACGCGCCCGGCCCAACCCTGGCCGGGTCTCTGCCCGCGCTCCTGCACCTCCCAACCCCAGGCAGCTGCGGCTGCGAGCGTGGCCGTGGGGTCCCGCGCAGACCCCTTCGCTAGCAAGATGCCCCTCGAGTCGCCTTTTGGCCGTGGAGAGGGCCGGAGGGCGGGCTGCCCTCCCCGGTCGCTGACAAAGGGAGGCAGTGACCCCTAGCGGCCGGCAATGGGGAGAAGCTGCTCGGTAGGGGTGGAGTTAAGATGGGGAGGGGGCGGCCGTGGGGAGCCGTGTGAACGCTGGATCTGGCATTGTCCGAGCTCCGGGGGCTTTTTTAGCCCTTTCCTCCAACCCTGGGCCCATTTCGCAGATGAGGAAACAAAGGCCCAGAGGAGGGCGTAGAGAGTGGTCCCGGGTAGAAAGAAACAGAGAACAGTCTAGAACTCAGCTGGCTAAGCATCTGCACCCCGAGATGTGGACGTAGGACAGAAGCTGCTTAACGGAGGATCAACCGCGAAAGCTGTGGAGAAGCGGAGGGAAAGCATTAGTGGATGAGATAAGGGCACTCAGGTTTCTAGTGGGACATCCTTTATAATCCTCATTGCCTTCAGAGGGTCCTTGTCCCGAAATGGAAGCCTTCTGCTTTCCCTCAAAGAACAAGAAACCAAGTCGGCTACCATTGCTCGCACCTCGTTTCTGAGCGGTTTGCGGGATTCCCGCGAAAGTGGTCCATCCAGTCGGTGTCCCAGAACGGCCTGGACTCTCCGCCCCATCCTGTTCGCCACCCACCACATCCGGGTGGCTTCTTGCCAAGGTGACTGAGCCGGAGGGGCCCTTAGCAGTCTGAAGCGTGGACCTTCTGTTCCCCATCCTTGGCCTGGGAGAGGCAGACAGACAGGGTTTCCCAGTCAAGAGAGTTGAACACTCCCAGGAGGCCTGGCCAGACAACGCCCCCTTTGCCCTTTGCCCAGCCCCAAGGACACAGAGGTACCGGGAAGCAGCCACATTCTGATAAAATGTAAATTTCCCTTTCCAGGAGTGGGAGGGGCAGGAGGATAAAGGAGGGTGACCCTTTCCCTCTACTGAGCTCGTGGCCTCGGTCTCCCAAAGGAGCCACTCCACTCACCTGAACACTCACTCCCAGTAGCCTTTTAGGTGTCACGTGCGTAACTCAGGAACAACTCTCTAACCTAGTAACGGCCAGACCTGGGAATGCATTGCGTGGTCTCACAGTTGGTCCTTGCCCGAAGCTGGGTCTAGTCTAGGGAGGGACACAGAAACCGAAGTTCCGAGGAGTCACTCACCACAGTGTAGTGGGTTTTCAGAATCACCAGGAAAACATCTACCTTAGCCTGAGCTGGGCCGGACCCTTCTGTGAGAAGGGAGCCCTGGGACTGACTGAAGGTCTCAGACTCAGTCCCTCAAGCAACTGGATTTAAGGTAGGGGTCAGCACAGGGAAAACCACAGTTGAGCAACAGCTAGGGTATTAGGTAGGGAGCTCTTAAATAATTGGTCTTAACCCAGCCTCAGCTTGAGGTAAGGTCAAATCTGTAAATTAGAATTATGCCAGGTAGTGGCCGCAGGAGGGTCTTAAGCTGGTGAATGCCCTGTTAAATTTAGCGAGTGGTGGCCAGGCTGGCAGTCAGGAAGCTCCCATCTGGCTGGCAAGTGCTTTTAAGTTTGCCAAAGCCAAAACGATTTTCTTGCTTGTGCCTGACACATCATAGGTTTGGGTTCAAGGGGGGTACTTCAGATACACCGAGTTCTTTCAATTTTCCTATTTCTCCATCAGATTTCCTCTGCTGATAGGAAGGAAAATAAGACCAGGCATCAGAAAGGTGCAAGGTGTGGTTCCAACTCTTTGTTTCTTTGAAATAAAGCTTCTCTGTGTAAGGTATCCCTGGCTGTCTTGGAACTCACTCTTTAGACCAGGCTGGCCTCGAACTCCAAGATCTGCCTGCCTCTGCTTTAGAAGTGCTGGGATTAAAGGTGTGTGCCACCACTGTCCTGCCCTTTGCATGCTGACACTACCTCACTTCTGCGCACATCAGCCTCGTCCTGCGCTCGTGGTTTCTGTGTGGTCCTCACAACACCCTCTGGCAAAGACATGGCAGAACCATCAGCTTTTGCTTTCAAGCTGGAATGTGACAATTAAGTGGATAAAAGGACTCCTGGACTCCTGGGCTCCTAGCTTAAGAGATGGGACCACAAGCTGGGTGGTGGTGGCACACATTTTCCATTTGGGGGTGGGGGTTCGAGACCGGATTTCTCTGTGTAACAGTCTTGGCTGTGCTGGATCTCACTTTGTAGACCAGGCTGACCTCGAACTCACTGAGATACACCTGCCTGTTGGTCCCAAATACTGGAATTAAAGGCATGTGCTACACCCCCCCTCACCCCCGCTTTTTAAAGACAGCTCTGATTGTCCTAGAACTCACTATGTAAACCAGGCTAGTCTTGAACTCACGGCATCTTTCTGTTTCTGCCTCCCAAATGCTGGGACTAAAGGTCTTGGCCACCCAGTTTAAGAGGTGGTTTTTTGTTTGTTTTGTTTTCTTTTCCTCCCCAATCCTAAAGATTTCATTTCTGCTATTTTGGTTATTGGTTTTGTGTTTGAGACAGGTGGTTTTTTTTTTTTTTGTATTGTTTTGTTTTGTTATTTTGACAGGGTTTTCTCTGTGTAACCTCCCTGGCTGTCCTGGAACTTGCTTTGTAGATCAAATGCTGGGATTAAAGGCATGCACTACCACCAACTGGACAGACAGGAGGATATCTTTACATAGTCCTTGCTGACCTTGAAGTTACTATGTAGGCCAGGCTGACCTCAAACTCACAGCTATTCACCTGTCTCCACCTCCTAAGTACTAGGAATTAAAGCTGTGCATCACCATGGCCAGCTCTGACTTCAAATTATTTTTAAAATATGTATTTTATTATTTTTAATATGTGTATATACCTGTGAGTGCAGGGCCTGAAGTGGCCAGAGGCATCAGATCTCTTGAAGTTGAGTTACAAAGTGGGTGCTGGGAGTTGATTTCATGTCTTCCAGGAAAGCAATATTCACTCTTAACCACTGAACCATCTCTTCAGCTCTGGATTCAGATTCTTTTTTTTTTTTTTCAGATTCTTAAATGCCGGTTCCCTCCCTGAGTAACTATGTGTCTTTATACTATAGCCCCCAGTAACTATGTGTCTTTATACGATAGCCCCCAGTAACTATGTGTCTTTAGACAAGTTCATTCCCCCATACTTGCACAAGCTATCCCATAAACCTGTCATTCTCTCTTTTGCCTCCCTTGGTTCAAATTTGATCCATCCTTCAGGTTTGCAATCAATTGCCAGCTTAACTTTCATGAGTTTAGCTTCCTTATCTGTATAACAGGAATAGATAACATACATGTTTTAGGATTGTGAGGATTAAACATGGTACACAATTGGAACAATGCCTAGCATACAAAGAAAACTGTTGTAATGTTGGTCATCATCATTCCTATAATCTCTGTTTCCACATACACTTGTCTTCTTCTCTGCCAGAGGGTTTTATATATACTATATATATACATATATATACTATATCAAAGTATGGTACAGACATTGCATTCCCATCCTGTGCATTTAAAGTATATTTTATTTTGAAATAGGTTTGGATTTACAAAAGAGGCATAACAAAGGCAGAAGAAATGGCTCCATGGTTAAGAGTATTTGCTACCTATCCAGAAGACCCAAGTTCAATTCCCAGAGTCCGATTTAAGTGGTTCACAATCACCTGTAACTCCAATTCCAAGAGACATGACATACTTTTCTGCATTTACACATGGACATACACACAAGCATAATTTTTTGCAAAAAGATCTTTAAAAGCATAAAAGAGAGTGTAGTTTTCATTTGACCCTCACCTACTTTCCTAAATGTTAATAACTTACATATGAGCCATGTAGCAAATTAAGAAATTATCACTACTATATCTCTATTAAATGAAATAAAGAATTTGTTTGTATTTTCTCAAGTTCCTAAATGTCTATTTTCTCTTTATTTCCTCTTCTAGGATCTAAATCAGGACACCACCTGGCATTTAACACAAGCGATTTTCTTTTTCTTTTCTTTTCTTTTTTTATTTTTCGAGATAGGGTTTCTCCGTGGCTTTTTGGTTCCTGTCCTGGAACTAGCTCTTGTAGACCAGGCTGGCCTCGAACTCACAGAGATCCACCTGCCTCTGCCTCTGCCTCCCGAGTGCTGGGATTAAAGGCATGCGCCACCACCGCCCAGCTCACAAGTGATTTTCTAATGCAAGCGATCAGCTCCAAGCTGATCCCTTCCTTCCCTGGCCTGCCAAATTCAGGCCATTATCATGGATCATGGCCTCAGCAATGTCTCCTCCTGGATCCTTCCTGCTTTAGAAGCCTCATATTCCTCTGTTCTAGGACTTTGCATAGGGGAGACTGTACTTTCCTGGGGGTCATCAAATGTATTTCTTCTGTAAGCCCCACCCCCTTTTGTTGTCAGCCTCCTTTTCTTTTGTTCACTTGTGCC